TTTATAAAAGAAAAAAAAATTCTTTTACCTGTAATGACTGGTTCCTGCCAGTGGTGGCAAAAGAGTCCAGTTGAGTTCACGTGGCCTAAATCTGAAATAAATGACTCAAAAACAAAATTGAAACAGACACCAGACTGATAAGTAGCAATTGGGCTAGAAAGGGAATAAAGAAAAGCCAGCATAGTAAACAAATCAAAGGGATGCCGGTGTTTTTTGTGCAGGGGCTCGCAGGGCTGCTGTCACGTGACCCGAGCGCTGGCGGAGGTGGGAGGGGAACAGAGAGTGATCACGCTGTTACAGAGGTGCTGCAGATTTCAAACCCGGGGAGTGCTAGCTCTCCAGTCCCGCTTGATTCTCTAGCAAGCAGCAGAGAAAATCGAGTCGCTCAGAATCTCAGCTGCTTCCGCGCGCCCAGAGAGACCACCGCAGCGGCTCGGGGTGGTGGGCCTCAAGAGACTCCGATTTGGGCCGGGTCTAGGCAAAGCCCCATGGGGAGGGTGCCAAATGTATCGGCGTAAATAAATGCAATGCAGATACTAAAGAATATTCACACTTTAATGATAAACTTACAGAACCGAAGTTCCCGCATGGCACAGGAGGTAGGAAGGAAAAAGGGCCGAGCCGCCTCTCTGCGCGCCCATTTATTGGCAGGCATTCGCCCGAGGCAAACCCCGCCCCCTAAAGGGGCTGTCTTAACCCTACAATTGAAAGCATAGTTTTTACAGTGGACTGTGAAATATTTCTTTTACTTAAATATTTTTTAGATTAATTTTTGTTGTAAATTTTTTGATTATAATAGTTCAGTCAGTAACCATACAGGATGTTAAATTCAGTCTCTTAAGGACTCTAGAAACTTTATTTGTAAACTATGCCTAGAGCTCTTGTTGACTAGCATTTTTTTAATGAACTTCACTTGACTATAGCAAATTTACAAATGTTATTGAGTAGTGAAATTGAGTTTAGTGCCATCTCTTAGAACACAAGGATTAATTTTAACATAAAATAAAACATTGACAGTAAAATGAAGTGGAAATGGTATATAACCTTACCTTTTCTTTTTTCTTTTATTTTTTAAAACAATCTTTTTTTAAAAAAAATTTCACACATTTTTAAAGTGACATAAAAATAACTATTTCAAATGTAGTCTAATTAAAAGTTATAATAACTATTCTTTATTTCTTTGAATTTAAATTATATCAAATTAAGTAACAGATTTAAATTGCATTTATAATTATATGGCAGTTTATACTTTTTAAATAAAAAGCATTTACCAAAAATTATCCTAAGTTTAGGAAGCCTAATTTAAATTGAAAAACTTTAAATAACCTTTAGTTAATGATTTTTATTTATACTTGTTAGGAGGAACTTAAAACCAAAAATAATAACCTATATATCTTTACATATAAATGTCAATCTAATCAAAGGATGACTGAAAATTAATGACTTTATTTACAAAAAGGTGTTAGAATTTTAGATCTAATTTTTTGTTAAAAGATTTTATATAAATTATAAGAATGACTTAATTGTAAAATTCATAATGATGTTTAAATTCAGAATATTTAATTTATTATAATTTCAGTTCAGATATATAATTAGGAACAGTTATGATTTTAACTATATAGAATTTGAAATAAGTTACATAACCTTTTAAGATAATTTTTATAATTAGGTGAGAACAAGGCATGAACTATTTCCACTTGATTTTCTTGCTAATATTTACAGCTTAACACTAGTGTTAGTTCTTAATTGCTTAGAAAAAAGAAGATAAAATTAGCAGATATTCTGTAAATAATATATAGTAAATTCTAAGAATTAACCATTGAAAAATAAACGTTTCTTGGAATGTATGAGAAGTACCTAAGCTGGTGGTGGTTCAGCCCTGAAATTCTGGGTACTTGGATGGGGGAAGCACGAGGTTCAGAAGTTGAAGGCTAGCCTGGCCAATTAAATAAAAATTTTTAAAAACTAAAATAAAAATGAAAGACAATAAGAGAAAAATAAAAACAGGCTGGGGATATAGCTCAGTTGTAGAATGCTTTGCCCAGCATGTGTGAGGCTCATGGTACATTCTCTCCCATGATCCCCAAGCTCCCAATTTACTCAGGAAATCTTGTCTTTTTCTACTTCCCTTGTAGACTAGACTGATAGAGTTTTAATGTTTCATTTGTACAGTATGTGTTAGATAATCGTATACACATTTGTATGAGTAAACAGAAATGTACATATACTGCAGTGTGTGTGATGGCCAGAAGACAAAGTTGGGTCTAGGGCCTCATGAGAGACGTGGCCTATCATTGGTTTTCCCTTCTGCCGACTCTGCATGAGCAGACTTCTGAAGGTTTTCCTGCCTTTACCTTCTGTCTTCCTCTTGGCGTGCTGCTTGTTTGGCTCTTAAGTGATTCTAGGGATTTGAATTCATGTCTTTGTGCTTTAATGGTCAGAAGTTTTTTTCATGAACTATCTTCCCAGCATCATATAATGTTTTACTTTATAAAATTGCATGCTAAAATTAACTTTGATTTAATAAAATAGCATAGTTTTTGTAGTAGGGACACGATATTCCCACCGTGAGAGGAAACCTTTAACTCTTGAAATTTTGTCTTTAATAACTTTCATTACTAAGTCCACTTGACCCTGTTATTTTTCCTCTAGAGTACATTCAGGAAAGGAAATGCTAGCCTGTGTGTTTGGTAGAGTAATTGTAACAAATATAATCTGGAAACTGATAGTTACCCATATATTTTCATAGATCATTTCTTGTCTTCTTTTCCTTCTCAGACCATTCATATATATCTTTAATTAGTCTGGAAAAATTTATACCATTGTCTATTTGAATATTGTATATACTTTCTTTTCTCTTTTGTATTCTTTAATAATAATGAAATAATTATATTTCTTTTAAAACATTTTTTAATTTTATGGGTGTTTTGCCTGCATGTCTGTATTGTTACCACTTGCATTCATGCATGGTACCCACAGATGTCAGAAGAGGATATTGGAATCAGCCTTTGATTATTCACTTCTGGACTTTGGTTGTTTAATTATTATTTGGTTGTTGTTATTCTTTTTCTTTGGAAGGGGTGTGACTTAGTTTTTAAGGTCACTGTTTGAGTTTATTAGGTCATAGATAAGAAAAAGCACATTGTGTTCTGGTGGAAGTGAGATCTGTTGAAAACTGAGAACTGGATATCAGACTGAAGAATAATTGGTATTTAGAAGGAAACATTTAAAATGATACAGAAAATATCTTGTTTAGGTAGAAGCTCTGCCTCAGCCACCCTCTTCCCTCTCTAAACCCTACCCCTCAGAACGCCTACCAAGAGGTTGGCTCCTCCCCCTGAGATGCTCAAGACCATGCCTACAGGGTATTTAAGACCCAGACCCTAGACCTACCATGGGATTTCTCTCCCCACCCCTGCCAGATCACCTTGGTGTTGCTTTGTTCTGTTTACTAAAACCTGGTCTTATTAATTCAACTGGATTTGGCTTATTGCGTTAGTGGAGAAGTAGAGAACTCCCCCACCCCCAACTGGGGTTCAAAAAATACTTATCAACCTAATTTTAGGAACTGATTGGTGTTTACTGAATTTTGTTCTTGAGTTCTGCATTAGTCAGGGCTCTCTATAAGAACAAAATTTACACACACACACACACACACACACACACACACACACGTATATGGGATTTATCAGAATAATTTACAAGCTGTGGTCCAGCTAGTCCAACAATGACTCTCTACCAACGGAAGGTTCAAGAATCCAGTTCACCAGCTGATGTTCGGCATATGCCATAATCCTGAAGTAGGCTCAGTTGCCAGTGAAGGCATGGACTCCCCAGTGAGAAAGAGAAGAAGCAGGCAAAGACAGCAAGCAAGCTTTCTTCTTCCATGGCCTTCATATAGGCTGCCAGCAGAAGGTGTGGCCCAGATTAAAAGTGGGTCTTCCCACCTCAGAAGATCTGAATTAGAAGTGGATCTTCCTACTTCAAATGATTTAATTAAGGAAAAAAAATCCCTCACAGTATACCCTGCCTTTTGGTTTTTAGTTCATTTCAAATATAGCCAGTTTGACAAGCGAGGATAGCTATCACAAGTGCTTCTAATAGTTTTTAAATTATTTTTAATCGTGTGTGTGTATATGTGCCTGTGAGTGGGGGTTCTCAAAAGGCCAGGGGTCCTTGGAGTTGGAGTTGTGTAGGTGTTTGTGAACTGCCTGTTTTGTATGCTGAGAATGAACTTGTATTCCTCTGGAAGAGCTGTGCCCTTCTTAACCACTGAACCGTCTCTTCAGTGCTCAAGTAATTTTTGTAATAATAAATATTGTTTCAGAAAATTTTTGATAGTGTAAAAGGAAAAATATAAAACATTAAAAGCTGTATATATATTATATGATAGAATGTTTTGGAATTTTGAAAAATTTTTTGATAGCTGAATAATTAAAACCATTTTATCACCATTTTATTCTTTCTAGTACTGTTTCTAAAAATGTTTATATCTTCAGTGTTAGCTAAGTGAAGAACATAGATCCAACACAGTCCTGAAGTTTTATAGACAAATCAGAAAGATTTCAAGGATGCTGTATATGGAGTACATGAGAAATTTTAGAAAATGTTTAGTGAAGACTATATTTGTCTCCCTAGTAGTTTGACCCCTTTATGCTAATTAGGTTGTGACTAAATTCAGTTTGTAACAGTTAGGTGATCTCATTGTGTACTTTTCAAGACTTTGAGGTTCTCAGATGTAAGGACACTTTAGATGTCAGTCAGTTGCTTTGTTTTTGTAAGGTTTTGTCATCACAATCTGAAATCCTGCAAATTGTTACAGCTTGTGTGTCAGCTCCAATAGAGGAAGCTCTGCTTTGAGGCTGAATTTCTAAAACTTGACGCAGTTTGTCTACTGCGGTCCACTCCCCCCTATTTTGTGGACTCATAGATACGGATTGTATGTGAGTGAAGTGCTGTCAGTCCACACTAAGGCTTTTCTTATTGCTGTCCCACTGCAGAGAGGTTCTGATGGCTGGGTGAAGAGAGGAAAACGGCAGAAAGGTTGAAGCACTGTGATACTGTAAGTATTCGTTTGAAAAAGAAGTTTAAGAATATTTCATGTCCATTTGTTTCAGGGAAAATATGTTAAAGATACATGCAAAATATAGAGGTGGATATTATAATCATCTTAATAATTTATAAGGCCTAGTCCCGTGTTGCTTTTAAAAATTGAAAATGTGTTCTCATGTATTAAGATGAGGAATTTTCCAATAGCATTGAAAAATATTTCTAATTCTAACAAGGATTGATATATTCTATGTACATTTGCTTATTTAAAACTATCAGAATCCAGAAAGTCATTGTAGTTTTATAGGTTGTGATTTGTTTGGGTGGCTTATTGTTTAGGTTATTTTGTAGAATTATTTATTTGCTGATTTATTTATGTATTTCATTATTTATTTATTTGATTATTTAGTAAATTATTTATCTGATGAATTATTAATACATCTTCATGACATGTTTTAAATTATTTATAACTTAATTTTGAGTTTATTGCTTTTAGACGCTGCATTGTTCCTGACTAGTTTTGATTTTTTTCTTTGTGGTTCTTGAAAATTAAAGTATTAGCTCTAAGGCAGAGAGTACATTCATTCCAGTGCCATGAACTTCTTTTTATTTTTACTCTGTTGGTAATTTATGTCAGTGATAAGATTTTAGCTATGTTTCATCATTTAGAATTAACTTTTACCTTTTAGGTGATAAAGTGTCAGGGTATTGTGTATATGGTCATTGTGAATCACTTGCTGATTAATGATAGTGTTTCATATGTAAACAAAACTGTAACTTGACATTATTTTTTGTCTCTCTGAAGGCAGGTCTGCGTTTCTTGTTTTGAAATAAATGATGGAATTATTTAATTTTACTGACAAGTCTGTTTTACCCCTGGAATACTTTTGGCAAAGTTCATAGAATTGAATTGCAACTTAGATTTGGATCCCTTCTTTGCTTAAAGTTGAGTATATGGACATTTGGAAAACAGCAAGATACTTATATAAATTTTCTATCTCCCATAATGACATTTATTTACTTCATCTTACAAATAATTCTAATAAGTTGGATTTGTTTCTGTTATTAAACAATGAATATCATTTCTTCTTCTGATCGTGTTTCATAATGGTAATTATCAGAGTTTTCCTTTAGTAGTTGATGAGTATGTAAGTAGTCACTTGAACAAAGGCGTACCATGTCTGCAGCATGGTTTTCATTTCCTCACTATGCTTGTTACAGTTTTTACACTTGGAAAGAAGCTGCCCTGTATCTCTAAAGTTGAGAACACTGTGACTCCTCTAGGTAGGTTCTATTACAGAACTGTAGATTATGCACATATATCCAAACTCTTCCCTCAAAAGATTCCATATATTAATATTTAATTAAAATGCTGCAGTAATATCTTTTTATGCTTGTCTTGAAAAATGTTCTTCAGTGATTTATGAAACATGTATTTAGAAGTGTGTATATCAGACATATCTGGCTTTTCTACTCTATAGAAAAGAGCTTCATATACTGTTGGATATGGAATTCCATTTTAAAATGATCTTTAATATACTTGTGGTCTTTTGAAGAAAAATGTTGCATTCTCCTGTAGCATGATTAATAAAAACCCAGAGATAGATATTAGGGTTCAACCTGAAGGTCAGAAAAGCAAAATAGCCAGGCACTGGCTCTTACCTCTGTCTTAGTCTGAAATGCGATCCTGCCTCCAGGAATCTCAGAATGAGACTGTGCCTGAGAGCTGTCTCCTCCCGTTTTATATTTCTCTCTAGGGCTGGGATTAAAGATGTGCACCACGAACTCCTGGTTTCTGTGACAAATTAATGTGACTACTGGGATTAAAGATGTGTGTCACCACTACCTGGTGTGCAAGGCTGACCAATGTGGCTGTTTTACTCTCTGATCTTCAGGCAAACTTTATTTATGAAAATACAATTGAAATATCACTGCTTTCTGCATTTCTGAATAAAGTGTGTTAGCAGTCATGGTATTCTACTGAAGGTACATTATTATTAACACCTATTGATAGAATACTAACTGAATTGTACAAGTGATCATTCCTTTGATGATACACATGCATATATAATTACTGAAGCACAGGCATCTGGGAATTTATTCTGACAGTAAGATAATTTTAAGAACTTGTGTTTGAGCTGGTGGTGGTGGCACATGCCTTTAATCCCAGCACTTGTGAGGCAGAGGTAGGCGCATCTCTGTGTGTTTGAGGCCAATCTGGTCTACAGAACAAGTTCTAGGACAGCTAGAGTTGGTGCACAGAGAAACCTTGTCTTGAAAAAAACCACCAAAGAGCTTGTGTTTGAAAAGAGATATTAATATAGCCTATTATAGATAGTTTTATTCAGTTCTTACCATATATAAATATGGTAAATACTCAGTATATTTTAATTAGATTTCATGACTTTCCCAATGAAGTAACACTGTGATTGTAATTTTCATTCTTTTTTTTTTATTTTAAGGATGAGGAAATAGAGAGTTAGAGATGTTAAGTAGCTTTTTATTGTCATAGAGCTGAAAGTAAGTGGGGGGCATTGGGATTAGGAATCATTTAGTTAGCTCAAGGGGGCCTTTCTATACCTATTATTTTTATATAGAGAGAGATAGTATAATACAGTATTTAGCTGGAGATTGTTCTAATTTATTTAGTAATATTTTTTTTACAGGTTTAGCTTGTTCAGTTTGTGTTACACCCAATTATCTTTTATGAATGGTAGACAAATAACTTTAACTACTTGTATTTTCTGATTGGATATTTTTAATGCATAGAATTGAACAAAGCTGCATACTTGTATCTCTGAGATCTTATGTATTTACCTGCCAGATAATCAATACAAAGATCACATCTTTGACAGTTAACCTCAAGGCATGCCCAGGACTCTGTTCCAGTATGATTTGTCCATAAGAATACTATAATATTGTTAGGACTAGACACATTTTTAAAAGGATGATTGGTGGTTAGGTTTTTACATACATGGCCACATACTATTAAATCAAGCCTTAATACAGGACACAAGCATTTTAACATGTTCACAAACAGGACAAAGTAATCATTTCAGCTTCTAACACAGCTACTTATTTTAGAGACAGGGTTCCACTATCTAGCCCGGGCTGGCCTGGGACTTCTTATCCTCCTGTCTTAGCCTCTTAAGTGGTGGGATCAAAGACATACACTACCATGTCCAGTTCAGTACAGTTTTTAAATCACATGTAATTATTTAAACGACTCTTGGGAGTCTCAGAGAGTAAAAAAAAGGTGTCAGTTGTATGAGGCTTATGGGAAAGGGTTTCTCTAACTCTATTTGCTATCTTCAAACAGGGAGATCTCCATCCTGGTTCTTAAATAGGTACACCAAATCCATTAGACAACAGATGAATTCAACAACAACAGTTTGGGTGTGGATTGGTGTGAATGCCATAGCAAGCAGGGTAGGGTAATTCAAAGTTGTAATTATTTAGATAATATTATATCATGAAATCCTAGTTCACTTAGTGATATGAAATATTACCATTGCTATGATGACTATGAATTTGTTATCTTATCTAAGACAGTTTTGAAGCCGTTATTGGCCAGGATAGGCAACTGTCGAGTGGAGCCTTCCTGGGTTCTGATAGCCTGTATACTGCCTATTGAGCAGCACTTTCACTTGATATAAAATATCTTTAAAGTTGTCTTTTTTTCCTAAACAATTTTATTATGGGCCACTATTTATCTTTTGTTTGTTTTACCTCAGCCAATGTGGTTGGTGGCTGTCTTTTGGGAAAGGCTACCGCTGTACTGCTGTTGGCACCTATTTACCTTTGCTTTAGCTCATTCAGTTGTGCCTTATATAACTAATATAGAAGCGAGGAATACTTTATGTCATAGCTAAGTTTACATTTGTTGATTTTTTTTCATTACTTAAAAAAGTTTTTGCTCATATGCCTCCTCTTCTCTGAGTCTTCTCAGTTCGTCAATCCCCACCTGATTCATGTTCTTTTTCAAAAACCAAGAAAATTAAAGAAAACACAAAACAAAAGCCAATAAGCTGTAACAAAAAAGTATACATAAAAACATGAAATCCATTTTGTATTGATCACTTCTTTGCATGAGGCCTGCTCTGGAGTGTGGTTGATATAACCAGTGACATTCTGTTGGAGGAAACTGATTTTCCCTCTATGAGCTTCTTGGTTAGAGGTGGGACTTTGTGCCCACTCCTTTCCCATTCTGCTGGCCCTTGTCTGGGGAGACTGTGCAGGTCTTGTGTGTGCTGTGACAGCCTCTGTACTCACATGTGCATCAGTCCTGTTGTGTATGGAAGATGCTATTTTCTTGGAATCCTTTGCCACCTCTGCTTCTTACAATCCTTCTGCCTCCTCTCTCACATAGATCCCTGAGTTTGATAACTTCCCATCCCAATCAGGGCTGAAGGGTTAGAGCTCATTTTCAAGGAGGACACAATGAAAGGGTATTATTACTGGTAATAGAAAGATAAACAGGCAAAGTGGACCACAATAAAGTGGACAGTTGTCATTTTTTATATCAAATATTGAAGCATTCTGTGTTTCTTTTTGCCTTAAGTCTGGTAATTAACAGTGTGTTTGACATTTTACTGAAAGCTTATTCTGTTCGTTAAACTTTCAGAATTTACAATTTTGTTGAACGATCCAGTGATCTTACTAATTTTTTTTAAGAAAAATCTGTGCTTCGTGTCACATATGATGGTAAAGCTGGCAGTTTTGTCAGATCATTTTAATCCTATTTTCTGAGTAAATTCTGTGTGATAAAACAGAACTTCAAGGGTGTAGCTTAAATTTTCCCTTTTCCCTTCCCTTTTCCTACCTCTTTCATTTGATGGCTTACTTACATTATTTAGTTCTAATTCGACTCTAAAAGCTTCATTTCTAGTTTGTGTTTAGTTTATAGATGGCTTGATTACTTTAACCAAGTAACTGTAGAGGTATGTTTGTCCTCCACTGTTCCAATGCGCCGTGCCTGCCTGCTGCCATGCTCCCTATGATGACAATGGACTCGAGCCCTCTGAAGGTGTGAGTATCCATTTGTTCTGGTCATGCGGTCCTAGCACAGCAATAGAAAAGTATTAGTAAGACAACTTCCATGTCTCAAGATGTATCTTTTCCTATCTTAGGTCTGATGTAAAGATAACATGATTCATTTATTTAATAGTATTCTAAAGTTGTTGAGGTATTTGTTTTTTTTTTTTGCCTTGCAATGATTTTATATAACCAAAGTAATTGATCTTAAGAATTCTTTTTTCTGCAATCATATATTTTGATTTCAATTTAATATTAGTATTTTTCAAGATACCATTAGCTATTATTTATATTGTATTTTTTAATTAAAATTGGGCTAATTTTACCCCTTCTTGACACCATGGCCTTCAAAAAAGATTTAGTAAAGTTACTTTTTGAGTGTGCCAAGTTCCTATTTTACACCATTTTTATCATTCCATATTCCTATATTAATCCACCTCTTTAGCTTTACTTTGTACTTCATTGCCTCAATTAGATTACACTGAGCCCAGTGTACACAAAAATTTCATGAGACTTAGGAGGAAATAATATAATTATTTTACTGTATAAACTTGTAAAATGTCTGGGAAACTGCATTGCTTAATAGTTGTGATTACTTCATTGTTCAAGTTTATTCCAGGGTTGAGAGAATTTGAACATACTCTGGTGTAGTTATGAGATAAATCACAATACTGCATAACATACTTCAGATAGAAAATTTCAATATAAGTTGGATATAATTTCTCGTTTAAGTTAATCAGCCAGTAACTCTTTAAATTAGATGACTGCTACTTTGTGCTAGTTTCTGAGACAATCAGCAGTGTTTCTGTGACAATTAGAAGTTTCTTCATGGTGACAAAAGTATTTTGAACTTCTTTATGGAAATATAATTTTCGCTGAAAGGCATTTTGCTTGTATTTAGCTATAGATGGTATTTGCCAAGGCCTATAAAGAAATAGGATTGGGGAGTAGGTTAGAGGGAGAGGTGGGAATGATGTTACCACAGTACTTGTGTATGGAATGCTCAAAAATATAAAAAATTTCAAACAAAAAGAAATGGAGTTAGCAAGTTCAGATAGTAGAAGAAAGCTCATTCTCCTTATAGTACTTGATTTTTTTCATGTTTCATTAAGTATGTCTAAAATCTTATTTGGGGTTTCTGTTTGCTTTTTAAATAAGTAAAAGTCTGATTTTTCATGTGAAGAAAATTGAGAAGAATATGCTAATGAAGTAACAGGTCCCAAGTTGTTACAGTTGTGGAACTGAGAGTT